CCTTTGTACACACACACACACACACACACACACACACACACACACACACACTTAAACAAGTCCAGGACTGACTTTAAGAGGTCTCTTTGAAAAAGGTTTAGGAAGGGGCTGGAGAGATGGCTCAGAGGTTGAGAGCATTAACTGTTCTTCCAGAGGTCCTGAGTTCAATTCCCAGAAACCACATGGTAGCTCACAACCATCTGTAATGAGATCTAGTGCCCTCTTCTGGTGTGCAAGGATATATGCAGGCAGAACACTGTATACATAATAAATAAATCTTTAAAAAAAAAATAGGTGTAGGAAGATATAAAGCCCAGAGACTTGACAGATGTTTTTTTTTTTTTTTTTTTTTTTTTTTTTTAAGCACAGCACAAGAGGGAATGGTAGAGATGACTTCTTACAGTTTTTGTGTCCATGTGGCTTTCCAGCTGGTAACCAGAGGTTTTGTCACAGCTTCTTGCAGCTTGGGTTCATCAGATTCCAGATATCAGACTAAATTAAAATCAGGGAAGGTTTAGGATGCTTTCCTTGCCTGCAATTGCACACCTGGATATGGGGCCCAGTCAAACTCTTAAGGTAGTGCCTGTGTTTGTTTAATTATATCGTTTGAGTTCTTAACTATGTGTAAGGCATGGTTAAGTGTTGTATATAGTATCTGATAATTCACAACAGCCCCCATGAAGAGTCCTGTTCTATTATACTCGTTTTTAAGAGATGAAGCCCTGAGAAGTCATTTGTCCAAAGTCGCACAACCAGCAGAGACCTAAGAGCCAGATTCAAATCTAAAAAGCTGTATTTAGAACCGTCTAACTACTCTGCAGTGTCAGATAGTAATTTACACTTGGTGAGATAATTCGGGTGTTGGGGTTCTTGTAGTTAGTAGCTTGTGTACTGGGATTATTTACAAGAACCACCTCCCTTAAATTATCATACTATAGGCTTCCCCATCAGGAGTCGCCATGGCCTTTAGCATTCCAAATGCTGGCGTTCTTTACCACCAGAACAGTTCCTTTAGGGAACATTCAGGGTCCAGGCTCCTACCCCAGCTCGGCTTCAGAGTAATCGGGATTCCGGAGCGCTCCAAATGGCCAGCAGGAGTCGCCATAGGCTTTAGAATTCAGGTCCTCTACTTGCGGCCACCCAGGCGCAGCGGAATGGAAGCAAACGCCCTCCTGCGGTGGCCTCGCTCTAGGCGAAGCAGCCCTAAAACCGGCCGTCCCCGCGCGCACGCGCAGTGGTTC